ATAGTGTAAACATAACTTTTATATACACTGGAATACCAAAAAAATCTTGTGACTTACTTTATTGTATTATTCACTTCATTGAGGTGGTCTGGAACCCACAATATCTATATGCCTGTACATAGAAAGATCTGTGTTCATTGTGGTTGCCACGGAGAAGAGGGGGAAGGAAATGTATGCTTTCAATCACAGAAACTTGTAATTTTTGGTGATGGGAAAAGTAGCTCTGAATGTGGAAGTAGTGAGCACAGCACAACCAAGGTAAAAAACAATGTTTTAGCACATACGTGTGGGTATAGGCATACTGGTAAACAGGTAAGTGCAAGTATGTATATAGGTCAGAACAGATAGAAGAAGTATAGGGGGGCTTCAAAAAGTCATTAGAAAAGTTCTGTTATCTTCTAATTCTGTTTTTACATAAACTTTTTACGCTTCATCTTATTTACAGGGACGTATAATACACATTGTTATAATGGAAACAAAAAGACCAATTTAGAAATTGTCAAATGGGGACCTAACTTGTGGAAACTTTCATCAAACCTTCAATAAAATTTTAAAAAATAGAATAAAATTGTTTTAAATATAAAGTATCTGGTGTCTATGAACTTCATGTAGTATATTATAGAAATAGAAATGGAAGTTATGCCACCAACTTCTGAAGATAGTGTTTTCTAAATATCTAATGTAAAGATTTGTCCTTACCCATTTTTTTATATATACATAAAATTGGTTTTCCTTCAAGATTTTATATTAAGAATTGCTTATTAATCATCATATTTGGTGATTTAAAAAAGTAAGCTTTACTTTCTTTATATTTTAGGAGACCCATGTACTGTGTCATCTCAGTTGGAGTTAGAAGAAGCCTTCAGGCTTTATGAACTGAACAAGGATTCTGAACTCTTAATTCATGGTAAAAGAGTAGTCATTTCTTAATCTTCTGGAAGTATAATTCCTTGACCACTTAAAAATAATCTTGATGTTATTTTTTTCTTCTAAATTTTATTTATTTTGTTGTTGCAAGTATACACAACAAAAATTCACCAACAGTTTCTGCATGCACAGTTTAGTGACCTTGATTGTATTCTTACAGTTCTGCAGCTGTTCTTAACCTCCTTTTTTGAGTTATTCCTCCCTTATTAATAGAAACTCACTGCACCTTAAGACTCTTATCTAATCTTTTAAGTTACTTTTCCAAGTTGATCTGTATCTCTCTTTTCAAATTAATTATTCTTGTTCAGTAGTTTCTCAAATGCTAGACAAGGTAAAATTAATCTACCTTGCATATTCTTAGGAAGTGCCTTCCAGGGTATTAAAATGTGAGCTCTCAGTGTTTCACATCAAAGTTATATTGTTGTTGTTGTTGTTAAGTACTATCGAGTCGGTTCCAACTCACAGAGCTCCTATATAGGGTGTCCAAGGAGTGGCTGGTGAGTGTGAATCACTGATCCCTACAGCACCACACTAGGACCTAAGTCATTTCCTTGTAATAATGTGTACACATAATGATTCTTAAAGGTACGATGTCTTTAGTTTAAGAGTTACTTATGAGTCCATTTACATAGTATCACATAGACATTATTATTGTTGTTAACTGCTGGCAAGTCTGTTTCAACTCTTAGAGACCCTGTATAGGATTTCCAAGGAGTGGCTGGTGGTTTTGAACTGCTAATTTTGTGGTTCTCAGTCCAGTGCTCATCCTATAGCGCCACACCAGAAGCCCTCATAGACATTAGTGTATTCATATACCAGCAACCCTGACAAGTGGGTAGTGATATAGAAGGAGAAACCTAAACTCAGTGATCACATAACTGAAATATTGTAGTGAAATGAAGTATTCTGGATCTAAATCTATGTTCTTTTCATTTCTATCATGTTATCTGTCAATTTTCTTGACAATGTATATCTCAATATATTACTGTTCATATTTTAAGGATCTGGTTAAAGTTTGGTTCAGTATTTTTTATATTTGAATTTAATTTCAATTGCATGTAATTTATATGTCTCAAAATAGGCTGTTATTAATTTGAGTTTGGTTGTTTTTTTTCCCCCAGTATTCCCTTGTGTACCAGAACGACCTGGAATGCCTTGTCCAGGAGAAGATAGTGAGTGTTTATATACTTCATACTTAAAAATAACTTGGCACAAGTGAAAAGAAATCAGAAATACAACTTTTCTTTCTTTTTTTGCTTATAACAATAGAAATTTATTGTCTCACAGTTCTAAGATCAGAAGCCCAAAATATAAGTGTCAGCAGGGCTGCATTCCCTCAGCTATGGGAGAATCCATTCTTTGTTTTTTAAGTTCTGCTTATTGTTGATATAAATACATAACTTTTAGTTCATTTGAATTCTCTTCCATTTTTCAATTTATTTTAGTGGTTGCTGTTATCGTTAAGTACTGTGGAGTTAGTTCCTATTCATAGTGACCCTGCACAGGGTTTCTGAGGCTATAAATCTTTACTGGAGCAGAAAGCCTCGTCTTTTTCCTGTGGAACTGCTGGTAGTTTCGAACTACTGACCTTGAGGTTGGCAGCCCAACTCGTAACCACTACCATACCAGAGTGGTAGTTGTCCCTTTTTCTTAACCTCTACTCTATTCCAGATCAAATTTAGAAAGTTTCTAGTTCCCTCTTATTCACATAATTGTCTGTTGTGCTTATAAATGTAAAATAAAATAAATTGTAAAGTCTTCCCACTTTTTAATGTTAAAAAATAATAAATTTGTGGAAAAATTTAAACGACATTGAAAACATAGATACCCATATACACTGGTTGTTACCTTTTTCGTTTTTTTTTTTTAATCTCTGAAGATATAAATACAGGTATGAACATATGTGCCACCACTCATCTGTCAGTTTGTTGTACTGTGGTGACTTAGATGTTGCAGTGATTTTGGAAACTGTACCACCAGTATTTTAGATACCAACATGGTCACCCATGGTGGACAGGTTTCAGCTGAACTTCAAGAGTAAGACAGACTAGAAAGAAGGAGAGACAGATTATTTCTGAGTATTTAGTCACTGGAATCCTTATGAATAGCAGTGGAACACTGTCAGATATCACCAGAATATTGTCAGATATACTGCTTGAAGATGAGCCATTTGGGTGCAACGGCACACAAAACACACAAAACTCTACTTCTCAAAGTAGAGTTGACCATGATGTGAATGGAGTAAAGCTTTCGGGACCTTCATTTGCTGATGGGGCAAAATTCACAGTGAGGTGGAACAGCTGTAAACATCCATTAATAATTTGAACA